GTTCTTTGGTGATGGCAGCAGTGTCCTCAAGGGGTAGATTTAGACGTGGGTCTGGCAGTTGCCTAGCCTCCCTCATCCTGCTAGTTTCTGAGCTGGCTTCTCTACCTTCCTGAGGATTCACTATCCCTGTGAGACACTTGACATCCTTCCTATAAATTCCTTCTCCTTTTAAATTGGCCAGAGTCTGACTGTTGTTTGCAACCAAGAACTGATAGATAAAGAATGTGATGATAGAATAGGGAAAAGGGCAAAGAGAAGAAGGGGGAGAGGGAGAAGGGGGAGGGGAGGAGGGGAAGTGAGAAGGAAGGGGAGGGAAGGAGAGAAAGAAAGGGAGGGGAGGAGGGGGGAGAAGGGGTAAGAGGGGGGTCTAAAGTCAAACAGTCCAGGGTTTGAATTCTGCCTCTCTTGGGCAAATATTTCCGTTTGTTTTATTTTTTGTGTATAATTCTTTTTTTTTTTTTTTTGAGACAAAGTCTCACTCTGTTGCCTGGGCTAGAGTGCCGTGGTGTCAGCCTAGCTCACAGCAACCTCAAACTCCTGGGCTCAAGCAATCCTCCTGCCTTAGCCTCCCAAGTAGCTGGGACTACAGGTGTGCGCCATGATGCCTGGCTAATTTTTCTATTTTTAGTAGAGATGGGGTCTCACTCTTGCTCAGGTTGGTCTCAAACTCCTGAGCTCAAGCGATCCTCCTGCCTCAGCCTCTCAGAGTGCTAGAATTATAGGCATGAGCCACTGCACCCAGCCTCTAAGGTGTTTTGTTATAGCAGCCAGGATGGAGTAGGAGTGATCAATTAATTGGTTCATTTTTATCAAGAAATATTTACTGAGAGTGCCCTATACACCAGGCACTGGGTCAGGGGATGGGACACACAGAAATGAATAAGGTCTGATCCTGTCTTAAGTCTAGATGGAGGGGGTGGTTAGACAAGTACATTACAATCCACAAAGATAACTGCCATACATTTGCTTCAAAATCATTCAAAATAATCCAAGGATGAGGGAGTGGTGAGGGTATAGCTGAAACAAGATGGGTCATGTGTGAATTTCTGAAGCTGGGTGATACATACATGAATTCAATACATTATTATACGTTTAAATATGTTTAAAATTTTCTATAGTAATAAAAACGAGGGAGAAAGACAACGACGGAGTGGAGAACATACTAAAAAAGAGCCCAACCCAAGACTAATAAAGGAAGAAGCTTTATGGGCTCTTTTAAAATGATATTTTAGTTAGCCTTGAGGTGATTTGGTGACTTAAGGAAACCATAGTGCATGAAGGAAACTGCCAAGTGTAGTCACCTAATACAGCATTACATTCGAGTTCATGCTTATTGTACTTGCAGGGTGTTTTTAATTACTGTGTATTTTAATAATAAAAATGTTCCAGCCATAAAGGTTATTTATACAGCACACAGTGGGAGCATAGGAGAATGAGCAAAATATTCAAAAGGTGAGTTTTGAGGGGCTGGTAGGATTGGCTGTGAGACGGGGAGGGCGTTCTAGAGTCCAGATCCGCATAGGCAAAGATTCAAACCCAGATAAACGACACCAATGCTAAGGAAGCAGAAGGCAAATCCAGGGTCAGTGGGAAACAGGATTGAATAAAGTAAAACCGGAGTCCAGGGCTCTTAATCATCAAAGTTAGGAGTAGGGCATATCTTATATATAACACATACAAGCACTTAATAAGCCTATTCTAAGAGTTTTATAGTCAATGGGCTTTTACAGTACATTCTTAAATAATGTAAATAATATTTTGTGTCTGTAAAATTATTCAAGATTTCTTGAAAATCATCCTGCATATTTTGGAAAGTGTTTTCTATTTTTGTGACTTGTTTAAAAGTCTTATTTTTTCTAGTCGACAAATAATTGAGCAAAAGAAATAGTAAGTCTTACTTTATTATCACTATCTCTATCTCTCTCCCCAAGATGGCAGGACTGCACATTTCCTCAAAGAAAGTCTCAGGCATAAGGTAGAATTTGGACTGGGACTTTAAGGACAGTTGTAATAGAAACAAAATTGCTAAACCCAAAAGTCCTCACCTCACCATGTACTAATATAATATAGGCTGGTACTCAAAATGACCCACCACAGTTACATTTTTATAGATCTGGGTGCTGTGGATGACCTTAACTGAACAAGGGTAATCCCAGTCCTTGTTGAACAAAGAAAGCATGTCTGACTTAATGATGTTTAATATTATATATAAAGCAGAATATTATGAAGATAAAGCCGGAAAATTTTTTTCACTTGCCCATAGTGTATTCAGAAAAGCTAGAAATCAAATTATAAAAAACCCTAACAGGGGCTGGGCGCGGTGGCTCACGCCTATAATCCTAGCTCTCTGGGAGGCCGAGGCCGGCGGATCCTTTGAGCTCAGGAGTTCGAGACCAGCCTGAGCAAGAGCGAGTCCCCGTCTCTACTAAAAATAGAAAGAAATTAATCGGACAACTAAAAACACATAGAAAAAATTAGCCGGGCATGGTGGCGCATGCCTGTAGCCCCAGCTACTCGGGAGGCTGAGGCAGAAGGATTGCTTGAGCCCAGGAGTGTGAGGTTGCTGTGAGCTAGGCTGACGCCATGGCACTCACTCTAGCCAGGGCAACAAAGCGAGACTCTGTCTCAAAAAAAAAAAAAAACAAAACCCTAACAGGAAGTAGATCAGTGGTTGCCTAGGGTTTGGGTGGGGGATGGAGTGAATGCTAATGGGGATGGGGTTTCTTTCTGGGATGATGAGAATATTCTAAAATTGTGGTGATGGTTGCACAACTCTGTGAATATCCCAGAAGTACATTAAATTAAATGGGTACATTGTACATGTTAAATAGGTAAATTATATATTAAATGGGTACATTTTATGGTATGTTAATTATATCTCAATAGAACTGTTAAAAAGAAAATGCTAATGAAATTTGGATAAACTTGCATTTACTCAGTATATGGCATTTATTTTCAGTTTTATTTTACAAACACTTACATGGGACTTATTATGTGCTAGGCACTGGGTTCCAAACACTTTCTAAATTTGAATGTATTTCATCCTCATAATAACCCTATGAAGAGCATATTATTGTTATATCCCTTTTACACAGGCACAGAGAGGTTAAGTAACTTACCTAAGGCCATTCAGCTAAAAATGGCAGTCAGGATTTAAATCCTGCCAGTCTGACTCCAGAGTCTGTGATTGTAAGTATTTTATTATGCTGTCTTTCTCAATGACATTTATAGTTTGTTTTTCTTAACCATAGCCAGTGCAGAAAATTGAAAATTATTTCATGGAGGGTTTTGAATTTGAGAAGAGTTTAGGAATTTATCCCTATTTACATGGCTAACGTAAATATGTAGCAATGCCTAAGAGGCCAGGCACTGTTTGGTACTGGGTAGGGGTGGATGGAGAGGGTAGGGAATATAAAGACAAATGACATACAGTCCATGAAGAACTCTCAACCTAACTCAGTTGCAATGTGGTGTTGGTATTTGAGTCTCCAAAATTTTCTGGGTAGAAGAGTGAAACGAGAATACTTGGGCTTTGGAAAGTAAAGCAGTAAAAGGATTTGTGCATTAAATCAAAGAAAGTTCTCTGATATTGTACTGGTTTAAAAAAAAATCCAAGAAAGGAGGTAGTAAGATCAGTTGGGAATGTGATAATCCAAAAATGATGAAATAAACTTGGGCAGGAGGAATGAAAATAGAGTGAGTTTTAAAGGGATATTTTATAATTAGAAATGTCAAGGTTAAATACTGAATGTGGGGCCCAGAATAAAAATGGGTTGAAGATGACTCTACAGTTCTAGCTACGTGACTGTGAAGACAGTAATGCTATTAACCATGAAAAAGAGCACAGAATATTGACAGGAGTTCAGATAAAAAATTTAGTTGTAGATATGTCTGGCAGATGGTAAGCAAGCATAGTGATGATGATATTCAAATAGGCTGAAACTGGGCTCTGCAGGCCAGAGAAGTTTCTATTATTCAAGTAATAAAATTACTTTCATAACTCCTTTTGATTTGAGGCACCATGTATTAAGTTATTACAAGCAATGTGACTGTCCCTAAAGTGAGGTCTAAATTGATCAGATAATGTAGAGTAGAAGTAGAAGGCCTACCATGGCTATTTTGGGACACTGCAACTTTATCGGCTCTTTTCTCCAATCTACGGTTTGAAAGAATGCAAGCACTCTAAGGACGGGAACCACATGCTATGCTCCAATTTCAAAAGGACCCGTGTGACTGCCCAGTTGGCCCACACTTTCCCGAGTTTTCATCTAGCTAAGTCAAGAATTCTCAAGTCCTCAGATCTAGACAACAGGAAAGGCAGTTGTCTACGTAACTGAGCATCTATAGAAAGTTTCCGAAAACATTCTGAAAACCATAGGTATGTGAGGGGCTGTGTCGGTCATTACTGTCACACGCCTGTCTCGAAAAACATGGGCTCCATTTTACTTCTTCCCTGATTTTCATCCCTTCTCTCACTATTTTCCTTTTCTTTTTTAGTTTGCATTTTCTTTTACTTCCTTCATTAGCGGATGTCGAACAAATACTTACGAAAATAACCTATTTTCAACACACTAATTTTTAAAAGCATTTACTGCTAACGTAATGTTGCAGAAACACTGGAGGAAAGAAACAATACATTTCCAATCCGAATTCGCACCCTGGCTGCCTTCGCTCGCTGGGCTCACTCACTGAACCGCCTCGCCCCCGCCCGGGGCAGCAACATTTCTGCCTGGGTGGCGACTCGAGGGCCGCCTCCTAACGCTCGGGAGGCTGCGAGGAGGGAGAGCGGTGTCCGGCCTTGCCCGCATGAGTATCGCCGCCAGCCCGCGCCCCCTTGCAGAACTTCACCAGCTCTCACACCGCTGCCTCCATTCCCGGATTCCGCAACCTCCCCTCTTCCAGGAACGTGAGCGCCCTCGGGCGCCCGGAAGTGCGTCATCAGCCGGCGTCAGCTGCTGCACGCCTCGAGGCGCTGGGGTTCTGATGCTCTAGCGCGCGGTTGGGTGACTAGCGGGGTCTGTAACAGGGTTTGCCGCTTCTTGGCGCCGCCATGCAGGTCTCCAGCCTCAACGAGGTGAAGATTTACAGTCTCAGCTGCGGGAAGTCACTTCCTGAGGTGAGTCACTTCCAGGCCCCTTCACTCTGGAACTCTTTGGGGTCTTCCTCCTCTTGGGGTTGCCGCCCCTCTCCCCGGCCCTGGCCTCTATTTTAGCTGGGCCCTGACCAGCCCTCGATTCGGGGAGGCCCCGAGGCGACTGACGATGCACTTGGGGAACTGGTCGACACTGTTAGACGAGGACACTATTGTCACTGCATCAGAAACTGGACATAGGGGTGATCGGGGTTGGTGTGCTTTCCTAGAACTTCTTTAAAGTTCTCTAGAACGAGGACGCTTCCCTTTGGGCTTCTGTGGGTGTTCGCAGTCGCTGCCACACCGAGGAGGAAAACGTGGACAGATTGACAGCCATCTCTCCCCGATATTGCGGCCCTCCCCATTTTCATGCCCGCTCATCAGCTGTTTGAGTTCCTGTCAAAAGCCAGGTCGTAGGGTTACAGCAGCGAACAAGACAGATGCAGAGTTTGAATCTGCAGAATTTATGGTGTATAGGACAGTATTTTTGAACCACGCCGAACTTAACTTGATTCCATAGTCTTAGAACATCAAAATTGGAAGGGGCTTGTACAAATCAGTAATTCTCTTTCAGTCTTCTCCTGTTTAAAATATGCACCCGAGATCCAGCAAGGGGAAAGGTAACCTATCCAGCGTCACACATCTAGGTTCTTAAGCTTTTTATTTCTTATAAATGATGATCTAGCCTTCGCCCAAGCACTTGGACAAAGAGCAAACCATGAAAGCTCATTTCCATTTTGAGACGCTGCACTTGTTAGGAAGTGGTTTTAAAACATGCCACTTTATAGCATGCCACTGTTAGTTAGTCTGAGTCCTGCCCTTGGAAAACAGAGTAAATATACTTCTCCTTCCATGTGTCTGCTCCTGAAAAATTTGGAGCCAGTGATTATATTTTTCCTTTGTTCTCAAAATTCAGGTTTAAATAACTCCTTGTCTTCAAGTTCTTCACACCACATGATCTTTTCCGTTTTGTTCATTCATTCTGCACACTTACTGAGAAGTTACTGTGTGCAAGAAGCTCTATTTTAAGTGCTGGAATACATAGTGAACATCTCAGATAAGGTTTCCTGTTCGGTAAAATGATAATAAACAAGCAAGGAAGTGAGAAGACAATTTCAGATATTAAAAAATGTTTTGAGTTATGAGTGAGTAGAAGAGAGCTGTTGTGGATAGTGTTCAGAGAAAGTGTTTTGGATAAAGCCTTCAGGGAAGGCCTCTCTATAAGAGATGACATTTGAGCAGAAATTTGAATAATGGAAAGGAACCATACCTGGGACTAGGTAAAATCATACACCATGTGAGACCAAACAGAGAGGAGAACTGGGCTGAAGACCTGAGGTACTCAAATGTTCATCACCCAAGAAGAGGAGGAGAACCCAGCAAAGAAGAAAGAGAAGGTGGCACTGACAAGAGAGGAGAATCAGAAATGTGTGGTTTTGTGGAAGCAAGTGTTTTAAGGATAGAGTGTTTAAGGAGAGAGCAGCCGTTGTCAGCTGCTGCGGAGAGCTCCAGTAAGATGAGTGCAGATTGGCACCACAACAGTGCTCATGTTGTCCATGCATTCCTTCCAGCATCACATGCAGTTACTCTTTGAGGTTTTTGGGTTTTTGTGGTTTTTTTTTAATCATGAAAGGTTATAGATTCGTACTTTAATCATACAGCCTTGGGTGAGGTATGGTATGGTGAGCCCAGATGCAGATCAAGAGAAACTGGAAAGAGTTTTACAGTTGTGCCACCAGGTGGCACTCATCTGTAATCCCACCTATCTATGCAGGAGGCCGAGGTGGGAGGATCACTTGATCTCAGGAGTTGGAGACCAGCCTGGGCAACATAGCAAGACATGTCTCTTAAAAAAATAATAATTAAGGATTTAAAAAGTAACTGTTTTCTTCTGGTTATGTATACCTGGGGGGGCGGAAAAAAGATGAGCACAGAGAGGGGACCATGGACTTTGGCGTAATGGAGCAAGCTGCTGGCCTTGGTGAATAGTTCCACTGGAGTGGTAGGGAGAGTAGCTTGAGACGAATGGATTTGGAAACCTCTGCTTGTCCTTGTTAATATTTTCTGGTCATTCCTTTGAGGTGTGATACTTAAACTACACATGGAACTACAGTTGTTGTCTGTTCTGTGTAAATAGTGCTCCTCTCCTTCTGGGCCTTATGTTCTATTAATGTAGAGAAGGTCTTTATATTTACTCGCCAGGTGGTCTGTTCCAGGCTCCTGGTGGTAAGCACGATCTCCATATTGATAACTATTAAATTTACATCTGCAGCCCGTACCGCTGCTCTGAACTGGATTTGCATGTCCAGCTGTTTCTTTTTTTTTTTTCCAGCTGTTTCTTGTCATCTCCTCTTGGATGTCTGATAGGCATCTCAAACTTAACTTCTCCAGAGTAGAACACCAGCTCTGCCCCCCAAGGCCCTCCCCCAACCTGGTAGTCTTTCCCCTCTCAGTCCGTAACAACTCCATCCCTCAGCTTGTTGATGCCAAAGCACTGGAGTTTCTTTTCACTCTTTGCTCTCTCATATGGTCCACCAAAGCCCCATTTTTGCTGTTGGTTCTGTCTTCAGTATTCAGCCAGAGTCCAGTCACCTACCTCCATTACCATCACTCTAGTCAAGGCATCTCCCCTGGATTGTTGCAATTGCAGTTACTGCGGTTGACCCCTAAGTGGTTTCTGTGTTTCAACCCCCAGCCCCTATTCCGTAATCTGTTATCAACAAGCTGCCGAGGCAATCTCTACTCAAAAGCCTCCAGTGGCTCCCCATCTCCTCAGGGTGCAAACCAAAGTCCTTTGAATGCTTGCCTGATTTTGTGTCTTCCCTGCCTTCCTCTCTGAGGGCATTCACAGTCACTCTTCACTTTGCACCAGCTTTGCTAATCTCCTCACTGCTTGAGACCAGGCATGCTCCTGCCTCAGGACCTTTGCACTGGGGATCCCTCTGCCTCACTGCTTTTCTCCCAGAGATTCACCAGGCTTGCTTTCTCATGCCTTTCAAGTCGTCATTCAAGAAAAGCCTAACCTTATTTAAAATTATAGTCCTCCCCCCAATACTTCCTTATCTCCTTTTTTGCTTTATTTTTTCCATAGACACATAATCATCTGACATTTTAATTATTTTACTTGTTTGTCAGTCTTCCCTCATTTGAAAGAAAACTTCATGAAAGGAGGGATGTACAGGCATGGTGACTCATGCCTGTAATCCCAGCATTTTGGGAGGCCAAGGTGGGAGGATTGCTTGAGGCCAGGATTTCAAGACTAGCCTGTGCAACATAGTGAGACCCCATCTCTACAAGACAATTAAAAAATTAGCTGGGCATGATGGCACGTTCCTGTAGTCCCAATTACTCAGGAAGCTGAGGCAGGAGGATTGCTTCAGCCCAGGAATTTGAGGCTGCAATGAGCTATGGTGATGCCACTGCACTCCAGCCCAGGCAACAGAGCAACACCATGACTCAAAAAAAAAAACAAAAAACAACAAAGTATTAATGAATAAAGTTAATTTATTTTTCAACCCCATCACACTTTTGACTTGGGGGTACAATTTTCATTCGTGTAAATTGACCCAAAATCTTTCGTTCTAGAGTTAATCAGCTTTTGTTGTTGTATTTTTAATGCTGTTAAATTTATTTTTGGTGTTTTCCAGTGATTAAGCATTTTGTTTCCTCTGTTGTACAGGCTTAATCTTGACCTTTGCTTTACTCTTATTCATTGATACAGTGGTTCTCAAAGCAAGGTCTGTGAGCCCCTGGAGGTCCCCAGGACTTTTTCAGGGGGGTCCATGAGGTCAGACCGTTTTCACAATCATGCTAAGACATTATTGGCCTTTTACACTGTGTTGACATTTTTTCCAATGGTGCAGAGGCAGTAGTGGGTAAAACTGCTGGTACCTTACTAACTATTGAAGCAGTGACCTCAAACTGTGTTAGTAGCCCTGTATTCACCAACATGCACCTATAGTCAAAAACAAAATGTGCTAGTTTTACTTAAGAATGTCTTTGAGAAGCTTTAAAAATTATTAATTTCTTAAACACACGTCTTTTGTAATATTCTGTGTGAGGAAGTGGGAAGTACACGTAAAGCAGTTCTGTGTGTCACAGCACGTACTGTGGTTGTCTGGAGAAAAAGCACTTGTGTACGTGTTTCAGTTGCGAGCTGAAGGAGCTGCGTTTTTATGTGAAACACAGTTTTTACTTGAAAAACGGCTTACAGACAAACAATTGTTCAGACTTCAGTATTTGGCAGGCATTTTCTTGAAGATGAACAAGTGTCACTTCAGAGGAAAACAACTGGCAGTATTTGATGACATTGATAAAATTGTGCTTTCGGGTGAAAAATAAAATTTTGGAAAACTTGTATCCACCACCATAAGCTTGATAGCTTCCAAAACTTAAAGACTTTTCTGATGAGATCGGTGGTGATATTAGTGAATGTGATTTTTTGATATCATTTCATGAAATGCATCAACATTGGATAGATCTTACAACCCAGTGGACCAAATACTTTCCAAATTGACCAATGTCTGTTGTTATAAAATCATGCATGAGTAAAAGACTCATTCAGAAGGCAAGATATACCAATGAGTTTCAACATACCAGAGTACCAAAAATGCATCGACAGGCTTCACATTCCACATTGCAGCTAACGCTGAAGAAACTACCACTTGTTGAGTTTTATTGTAATACCAAAGAAAAATAGCCACAGTTGTCTGAAAGGACTATTAAAGTCCTCCTCTTCTTTTTCCAGCTGCACGTCTGTGTGAGGCCTATTATCTTCATACACTTCAACTTAAATCACAAGTTGGTTACAGAAGCAGGTATGAGAATCTATAAGTGTTTCCTATAAAGGAGATTTTTAAGAATATAGCTATTTTTCATACAGGTATAGTATTTATTTAGATGAACATGTGGTGAGGTGGTTGTTTTTAGCTGAATACATAAATACTTAAATAGTTTCTCAGTTTTAACTTCTCATGCATTCAGTATTAATGGATGTAACCCACAGAAACAAAAGCCCTTTTGGGGTCCTCCATAAAGAGTGTTCAGGGATTCTGAGACCAAAAACTTTGAGAACTGGTGCTTTCTCTCTGTCTCTCTGTCGCTGTCTTTGCATCTTCCTTTAAAGTAATCCTCTGTCAGTGATGAGCCAGAAAAAAATAAATAAATAAAAAATAAGCAATCGTAACTTACTAACAGATTGCCTATTTTGCTTTACCTTATTTAAATGTGAGATGAGATGGGGTCTATTTTTTCTCTTCAGCAGCAGTGAGGCACCTGTCCAGCGAGAGAATTAAGTCATCAGCATTTCTAGAGCTTTTTTAAACTAGGTTTCTGATGAAATTTTTTGACATTGGTAATGCGCAGTTCTTTATTAGTTATGAGTTTATAGGATACGGAGAGGATGGCTGAATTTAGTGACAGCTTTCAGTTCTTCGGTGAACTTGAAAAAGAAACTTAAAAAAAAAAAAATCAACCTGCACAGAAACTCCTGAATGAACTTTGCTTTCTTCCCACCATTACTGTTTTGAGAACTTTGGCCCTTTCGGGTTTCAGGCTCCCACTTAGGAGGAAATCTTAGGCCCCTCTTTGCCACATGCTCAAGATGCACGAGACCAGCTATTGTGTGAACAGCCTCCTACCTTGCTCATAACTTCCTGAGAAGAGGAAACTGAATCCTGGTTATTAGGGGGAAGCCCTGGCAATATACCTTGGTTGTGTTTGTATTAGGTTTATATAAAAGAACACATTGAGTGCCCAGAAATATACGTCAACATCAGCTTTAATTGAAGATTACTGCCTAAAATAAAATCAGAGCAATATAATCAAAAAGGCCTGTAAATCTATAAATCAATGCACTAAATACAGAGCCAGGAGGAAAGCTGTGGCTCAAACTCAGCCTCCTCAAAAGTGTTATCCCTCTTCATATGTGGGCACTGCCTCAGGCATCCTACTTAGGGTCTTGCGTGGGGTGTCTGCCTGACCAGTGAGTCCTAAAGGTTATAACGTCATGTGTCTGATAAGGGCTATACATTGGGTTTGTGCTTTTAGAAATGACATCACAATTTTTCTCTTTTATTTCTTTAGGGGTAGGGTTTCTTAATCTCACCATTATTGACATTATGGGCTGGACAATTCTTTGTTATAGGGGTTGTCTTATGCATTGTAGGATGTTTGGTGGCAGCATGCCTGACCTCTATCCACCAGATGCCAGGAGCATACTCCCCAGTTGTGACAACCAAATATGTTTTCAGGAATTGCCAAATGCCCCCTAGGACACAAAATTGCATGTGGTTGAGAACCACTGCTTTAGGATAATCATAATTGACAATTGACAAGTGCTTCATCACTGGCACCTATTCATGCAATGGAATTATACTGCTTGCTAAATTGAGGTATGTTAATTACAGAGCAAAATCTGATATCAGTGAATATGATGGTAAAAGTATCATTTCATTTCTTTTTTTTTTTTTTTTTGATACAGAGTCTTGCTCTGTTGCCTGGGCTAGAGTGCCGTGGCGTCAGCCTAGCTCACAGCAACCTCAAACTCCTGAGCTCAAGCGATCCTACTGCCTCAGCCTCCCAAATAGCTGAGACTATAGGCATGTGCACCATGCCCGGCTAATTTTTTTTATGTATTTTTAGTTGTCCAGCTAATTTCTTTCTATTTTTAGTAGAGACGGGGCCTCGCTCTTGCTCAGGCTGGTCTTCAACTCCTGATCTTGAGCAATCCTCCTGCCTCGGCATCCCAGAGTGCCAGGATTACAGGAGTGAGCCACCGCGCCCGGCCAAAGTATCGTTTCTTTATCATCTATTTGGTCAGTTATTTATCTGGTTTTATTCTTTGTTAAAAAATATATTCCTATAAGAAACATTCTCATTTTAATGTTTTTTCTTTTTAAAATTTCACTTAAATATTATAGATGAAGTTGTTCCATGTATTAGTTATAATCCATCATATTTGAGGCTTACTGTTTTCCATTGGATTATTTAGATGAATTAGTTTTCTCTTGTGTAAAACATGCTAGTTCAAAAAATTTGTTGTCTGATACGTGTAAATACGTGTAAATATATACACGAAAAAAGTCCAGAAGAAATGTTTAACAGTAAGGTTAAGATTACAGAATATTTCTACTTTCTATGTTACATATTCCTGTAAGATTTGAATTTTTTAACATGAGCATGTACTATTTTTGCAAGCAGAAAGGCAATTTAGGTAATATTGTTTTAAAATAAGGTCTCTTCATTTTCTTTAAGTGGCTTTCTGATAGGAAGAAGAGAGCATTACAGAAGAAAGATGTTGGTGAGTATTGTTTTTCCCACTACAACTACATTAGTGAGCCATAATACTTTCTCTCATTTATTGTTGTCATATATAAGTACATTTACAAAAATGCAGTAGAATTAATATAGTGGAAAATAAACATTTTTGCCCTTTTCCTTTTATTTTTTTTTTTTAAGAGACAGAGACTTGCTCTGTCACCCAGGCTGGAGTGCAGTGGCCCAGTCATAGCTCACTGCAGCCTCAGACTCCTGGGCTCAAGCGATTCTCTCACCTCAGCCTCCCGAGTAGCTGAGACTACAGGCACATGCCACCACTCTTCGTTCTTTTTTTTTTTTTTTTTTTAAGTTTTTGTAGAGCTGGGGTCTCATGATGTTGCCCAGGCTGGTCTCCAGCTCCTGGCCTCAAGTGATCCTCCTGCCTCCGCCTTCCAAAGTGCTAGGATTATAGGTGTGAGCCACTGTACCCAGTCCTTTTTCCTTCTTAAGAATCCTATGGTTGTGGTTGATATGTTCCTGCTGGATGTGGGGTTTGATTTTACCCTATTTATAAGCTAGTAAGTTAGCCTATTACTGTGTCATGGATAATAGCAGAAAACACAAGACTCCTGGTCAGCGACAAGGACATTACTCACAGCATAGCAAATAGCGTGAGCATCAGCATATTGGTGCCAGTTACCCTCTTGAGTCCCAGGGCGCCACTTAGCACAGTCCAGATAGATGCTTGGCACACAGTGGATTTGTGTTGTAGCTGAGGAATATAAATATAGCTTGGGAAGTCCATTGCTTTTATAGCTGGCAGTAAGTAAGCCTACTCTTTGTCCACAGGGGACGTGTTACCTTGTTTGTCAAGGTTCCCAGCTGCATAAATAACCCTGAGAAATGGCTTAGGTAAGCATGGCCAGGGCCTTGCGGTGTTGCTGTATTCAGTGAGTTTGTAGGAATGAAAGAGGCCCAAGGAGGATAGCCTCTCCTAATAGTTCCATAATTTCTTTGTTCTCTAGTGTATCAAAATCTTATTCTGCTGGGCAAAAACTTCTTGAGTAATGTCCCCAAAGCACAGGAAGGCAAAGCAAAATTGGACAAATGGGATCACATCAAGCTAAAAAGCTTCCACGTAGCAAAGGAAACAATCAACAAAGGAAAGAGACAACCCATAGAATGGGAGAAAATATTTCCAAACTATCCATCTGACAAGGGATTAATAACTAGAATATATAAGGAGCTCCAACAACTCAATAGAAAAAAAAATCTGATTAAAAATGGGCAAAGGGCCGGGCACGGTGGCTCACGCCTGTAATCCTAGCTCTCTGGGAGGCCGAGGCGGGCGGATTGTTTGAGCTCAGGAGTTCGAGACCAGCCTGAGCAAGAGCGAGACCCCGTCTCTACTAAAAATAGAAAGAAATTAATTGGACAACTAAAAATATATAGAAAAAATTAGCCAGGCATGGTGGCGCATGCCTGTAGTCCCAGCTACTCGGGAGGCTGAGGCAGGAGGATCGCTTGAGCCCAGGAGTTTGAGGTTGCTGTGAGCTAGGATGACGCCACGGCACTCTAGCCCGGGCAACACAGTAAGACTCTGTCTCAAAAAAAAAAAAAAAAAAAAATGGGCAAAGGATCGGAGACAATTCTCAAAAGAAGACATACAAATTGCCAACAGGGTATACAAAGAAATGCTCAACATCATTAGTTACCAGAGAAATGCAAATCAAAACTACAGTGAGATGTTGTCTGACCCCAGTTAAAATGGCTTTTATCAATAAGACAGGCAATAACAAATGCTGTAGAGGATATGGAGAAAGGGGGACCCTCACATGCTGTTGGTGGGAATGTAAATTAGTGCAACCACTATGGAGCACAGTGTGGAGTTTCCTCAAAAAACTGAAAATAGAACTACCATATGACCCAGCAATCCCACTGTTGGATATATATCCAAAAGAAGGGAATTAAATGTATCAAAAAGATATCTGCACTCCCATGTTTATTGCAGCACTGTTTGCAATAGCCAAGGTTTGGAATCAACTTAAGTGTCCATCAATAGATGAATGGGTAAAGAAATTGTGGCACAAATATTAATACACAGTGGAATATTATATAGCCACAAAAAGAATGAACTCCTGTCATTTGCAACAACATGGATGGAACTGGAGAACATTATGTTGAGCAAAATAAGCCAAGCACGGAAAGACAAATCTCACACGTTCTCACTCATATGTGGAAGCTAACTATTAAAAACAGTTGATCACCTTGAGACAGAGAGTAGAATGATGGTTACCAGAGAATGGGAAGGGTAGTGGAGAGGGGATAAAGAGGGGATGGTTCATGGGTGCAAAAATATGGTTAAGTTAGAACGAATAATATTTGATAGCACAACAAAGTGGTTGTGCTATGAGCAGTTATCAGCTGTAATTGCTGATTATTGCTATTATTGCTATAATCAGCAATGAGTCAGGGTGTACTTTAAAAAAACTAAAAGAGTGAAATTGGAATGTTCCTAACCAAAGAAATGTTAGATGCCTGAAGCGATAGATACCCCAGTTACCTTGATTTGACTAATTCACATTGTATGCCTGTATCAAAACATCACATGGGCCCTATAAAGATATACAACTATTGTGTACCCATAATAATTAAAAATAAAAAAATGAAAAAATTTAAAAATCTTATTCTGTTAGGTAAATCCGTTTGTCAGTTTTTGAGATACAGTGAGCATTTTCTTTCTGAAGAAAGCAATTTTACATACAGGATGTATGAACATGAACTATAAAGATTCGAAGAGTTTGATTCTTTTAACTTACAGCAGCAGGGAAGATAGGAATGTGAGATCAGTTTATTACTTAAATCATTTTAGTGACCAAATTTCATTATATTTCTATATTACAACTTGTCATGTATGTGACTACTCACCTATGGTAAAAAAAAATAAAAACAATAACTCGTATGAAAGAAAGTTTATTTTCCCATATATTTTGTTTAACTTATTCTTTAAAAATCAAAGACCTAAGATATTGAAAGGGTTTCTGAATATGAGATAAATACCCCAAGGCAAGCATCTTGGAAAATACAGTACTAAAGTTAGAAAATTAAAATTTTAAATCAAAGGAAAACAAATTGCTGCTTTAGTACTGTTTACTGATCCTGATTTTATCTGATTCTCCCATTCCAGTGTTCTCGTGTGTAACAAAACAGATTCAGATTTTTGTGGGGAAAAAATGTTCATTATTTCTCCCAACCCATTTTGGAACTTGTGCGTCTTTCAAATTCAGTGGGCCACTCCTAACTCAGTTGGTTTGAGTTTTGTATTTGGCTTCAATAAACAAGGCAGTAATGTTCCATAGAGTGATAAACAGTCTTTGCAATAGGCACATTTTTATGATGGCAACCAGCAAGAATCCACACTTTCCTGTAGGAAGGAACAGGTTTTTGTGAGAGTCAGTGTTAGTGTTCTGCTCCAGAGAGACTGCACTAAGTCTTCCTCTAGCCTGGGTCCTCTTGACTGCAGATCAGGGACGCCAACAGAGGCAAAAGTCAGTGTGGCAGCAGTTTCTTATATAAGCTTCAGATATTAGAGTTTTAAATCTGTTATTATTTAGGAGAAAAAATTATAAGATTTTTGTCTTTGCCATGATTGGGTAATGATAATGGTTTAATGTTTATTCTCATTCATCCATATCCTCTTAAAACTGGATGTTTCATATACTGTTGTTCAATTTTTTATTTTTGAGACAAAGTCTGTCACCCCGGGTAGAGTGCAGTGGCATCATCATAGCTCACAGCAACCTTAAACTCCTGGGCTCAAGTGATCCTCCTGCCTCAGCCTCCCAAATAGCTGGGATTATAGGTGCATGCCATGATGCTGGGCTAATGTTTTCTTTTCTTTCTTTCTTTTTTTTTTTGATTTTTTTCTATTTTTAGTAGAGACAGGGTCTCGCTCTTGCTCAGGCTGGTGTCGAACTCCTGAGATCAAGCGATCCTCCTGCCTCAGCCTCCCAGAGTGCTAGGTTTACAGGCGTGAACCACCATGCCCGGTGGGAAATTTTTTTTTAAATTGATGATACTTTTTGAAAAGTAAAAATAGAATACTTAGCTTAGAAAAATATGTATGAGCTTAGAAAAAAACCTTCGCTGTTTAAGGGCGGGCTGTACTGGAAGCATTTGGGATGTATTTTATTGTTTGTAGTTGCTGTGAGTGCTCAGCACACTTTGCCTGTGATAGGGAATAGGCGCATGTCAGTTAAACTACTTATTTTTTCTTTCTTTTTAGATATCCGTAGGAGAATTGAACTTATTCAGGATTTTGAAATGCCTACTGTTTGCACCACTATTAAGGTGTCAAAAGATGGACAGTATATTTTAGCAACTGGTAAGCATCTTTTTTTATGATTTAAATACATTTCATAGTAGGAACTGCTGTGATGAGAAAGGTCACTTTTATTTTAACCCTACCATTTCATTTCATTATGAAAAATTTAAAACATACAAAAATATTGAAAAAACTGTACAGTAAACACCTATTTATCCACTAACCTAAATTCTGCAGTAAATAGTTTACAGTATTTGGTTTATCACATCTGTCCCTGTCCACACGTCGATCGGATGCATATCAGAGCAAGTTGCAGACGTCAGTATGCTTTACCCCTACATACCTCAGCGGGTGTATCATTGACTGGAGTTCAATATTTTCAGTATTTATTTATGGATTTTTTTTTTTTAGGTAAAGTTTACATACATACAGTGAAATGCATAGATTGATAGATCGTAAGTTTACTCTTTGTTGAGTTTTGACAAATGCACACACCTGTGTAACCCAAACCCATATCAAGACACAGAACATTCCTTTCCTTCATGAAATTCCCTCACACTCCTCGAAGTCAGACCCTGCTCCGACCCTGCAGAGGCAGCCACTGCTCTGACTTTTTTTCCCCACAGACAAATTTAGCCTGTTTCAGAACTTGATATAAATGCAGTCATACACTTTGTATTCTTTCTATGTAAGACTCATTCTACCTGGGATTTTGTATTTGAGATTCATACATGTTATATGTATCAGTAGCTTGTTCTTCTCTAATTAACAAGTATTTCATTATATGAATATACCACAGGTTCTCCATTCTCCATTTGGTGGACACCTGGACTATTTTCATTTATTGACTTTTATTGATAAAGCAGTGCAAACAATCTTACACAAGGCTGTTTTGTGGTTATATACTTTTCATTTGTCGTTGGTAAATACCTAGGAGTAGAATTTCTGAGTCATAGGGTATGTGTATGTTTAGTTTTTAGAAAACTACCAGACCCAAAGTGGTCATATCACTTACACTCTCATATCATTTACACTCTCAACAACATTTACAATCCCCACAATGAGGATTCCAGGAAAAGTTACTTTTAACATGATTTTCTGTATTATGTACTAATTTTTTTATATTACTAAGATTTTATATTAACAGTGTTCATCATTATAAAAAACCATGAGATATAGAGAACTTTTAATGTGTTAAAACATTGAACAGTATCACCCAGGCTTTTTTGGTTGTGATTTTGGTGTATATGTCTATCTTGTGTGTTGTCCACACACATTTTTTTTGCCGGTTTAATGGTATCTATCTATATACCTTTTCCAACCACTTTCTTTTTTGAAAACACCTTCATACGTACACAGGCCAGTCTCTGTTGTTCCGTGTTAATGGCTTTCTCAGTACTAATGTTGTACATATCTCTTAAGCTCGAGTTTTATGTTAAGAAACTGGTAAAGAGAACTGGGGAGATGCAAGACACATGAATACACTTGTTGAGGACTGGAAGAAACTAGAGATTTAATTCGTTTTCTTTATCTTGCAGATCTGAAATATTAAGTAACTTGTCCAAGGTCACGGATCAAGTACTTAAGAGAGATACGATACAGATTAAGAGACTAAATCTGTTAAATTACGTTTTCTTCTATAAATCATCCTCTACTACTATGCAAAATTAATTGCTTTCCTTCTTATTCACACCCTTTGGTTTTATTTTTATCTTAAAAAGAATATTTTATAAAGAATATATGAAATGCGGCTAGTGGGACTGAGGAACTGAATTTTTAATTTGATTTAATTTTAAAATGCACACTTGGTGAGTGGCTTCCTTATTGGACAGCACAGTTGTAGAGTCCAGAGTCCCTCTGGTTTGACTTTTGTAGAGGTCTTTTTTTGCTATTGGTAGGTGAAATGGACTTGGGGTGCCGCTTGCTTCTCCGTTTAATTTGATAGAGATTCTTCTTTTGATCTCAATCTTGATCTCATCCCTACCTCTTTCTCAGGTTGCCTTTGGTGTTGTAAGCCTTGTGGCTAGAAACAAGTTGATTTTAGATTGGCCTTTGAAAGTATTTCAGTTTAGTTGGAGAAATAGAGTATACAAGGGAATAAACCTAGGGGATGTGCTAAGTAGTGGTTTGTTACGGAACTTACCAGCCTCTTGGTTCCTTGTGGAAACATCAGGTTTTTTTGATCATGCCAGATCCACTAACAACACCACATTCTTAATGGTGGTGTTAGTCTTTACC